CTCCATCCCCAGGGCTCGGCTTTTGACCCTCAGGCTCTGTTTCTACAAGTGCAGATCAGACAAAGCAGGGACTCTTGACGGTGGAATTCATTCTCCCTGTACAAACTTACTGAGTCTCGGCTGTGTCGAGGGCTCAGCCATAGCAGAGAAGGCAGCCGAGGCCCTCTACCCCCTTAGCTCCTCCTGAGGAAGACAGCACATAAGCAAGCACATAGTGGTGACAGGAGCACTCAGTGGATGAAGGCGGGTGTGTTCGGGTGATAAGTTAGAAGGCTGGAGCCTGCCTTGACCCAGGGCATCTTGAGGTGATGTTTAAGCAGAAACCGAAGACCAGAAATCAGTATGTGAAGGAAAGAGGCAATAATAAGACCAGGCCTGTAATCCCAGCACTGTGGAGGCTAGGGCAGGATTGTGTTCAGTTTGTGGCTAGCCTAGGCATCACAAAAGCACAGTCTGGGGCAATCGAGACAAGAGCCGAGAGGTCAGGCTGTTCCAGGCCCTAGAATTAAGGCTTGGAAGGTTGGAGGGGTAGTCATGCCTGGTCAGCCTTGCTAGGCCATCTGACCCTTTCTGTGGTGCTCATGTGTTATCGTCAGCACTACTGAAAACAAAGCCTGCTCTTGGCCCCCTCTGCTCAGCCCTTGTGACAAGGTCATAATTCGGGTTCTACCCCCTGGTTGATCTAGACTCAACCCAGTGGTTCAGGATGTAGTCCTGGGGTTCCCTCTCCTTGCACAACTCACTAGCAGACCTTGCTCAGGAGGGGAGGTTGCCCCTCTGTGGGATAGAAGGTAAGGTCCACCTTGTCTCTTTCTCCACAGTCCTAAAGGGGAAGAAGCTGAGCTTACCGGCATAGCCCTGGCCTCACCAGCCTTCCGAGGCAGGGCAGGAGGCAGCAGAGGGAGGCCGCTGAAGACCAAGAGCCTTCCCATCCAGAGCTGACTTTTTAAAGAGCTCACCTCTCCCGGCTCCCCACCCCTCCAGCTGGGTTTTGGGGGTCAGTGGAAGACCCCTATCCTGGGGAGCTCAGGACCTGAGAGCTGTTTGTAGCCTTTTGCCTTTTAGAGAAGAAAAACAAAAAAAAAAACAAATCTTTCCACTATTTAGTTTTTGATTCTGATGACTTTTTTCTCTTCGACCCTGGCCCTGATTTTTTATAAACTGTGTTTTGAGTGTTCTCTGGACCAGGGCCAGCCGAGGTCTACTCCCTTGTCTAAGCCACTTGTCTCCCTCCAAGATCCCACCCCAGCCCATGGTTGCCAAACACTACGTCTGCCAATGCCTGCCTGCCTACCTTGGCTGTGGCCACGATCCTCCCCACAAGTTCCTGGACTGGTGGTAAGAAAGAAGAAAGTTAAGGAGGCTCTTCCTAATTTTTCATATTTTTTCCCCAGAATTTGTTAGCTTCTTCTGTGGGGGTGGGTAGGGGGTTGTCCTGTTTTTGTCAAATTAGGGGATGCTTTGGGCTTATACGAGGGAAGGGGGCTAGCTGGCCTGGGGGTCACCACACTCTAACACCATGTTTTTGTACAGAATTTGATGGCTGACTCTTTGTTCTCTTGAAATAAACCAAGGAAAACTGTCCCTGCCCTCTTTGCTTTGTGCCTGGCTTGTTCTCTTTTGCCTGAGACCTTCTAGGGATGGTCAGATATCTTGAAGGAGTAGGAAGATGAGAAATGGGTACCCCAGGACTCTCCAGTGCACCAGCATGCCTTGAGGTTCTGCAGGGAAGAGGTTGGGAGAATCTGATCTTCGTTTGATATAGAAACTGCCTGATGACTCTCCAGACCTTGAAGAGCATGCATGTCTTGCACCATTGATGACGGGACAGCCCTCATCCTTCCCTCCATTGGCATTAAATTTTTTTTTTTATTTTAAGTGTGTGAGTGTTGCCTGCATGTACTATTTGTGTGTATGCTTGGTATCCAAAGAGGCCAGAAAAGAGCGTCAGATCCCCTGGAACTGAAGTTAAAACAGTTGTGAGCTGCCGTGTGGGTGCTAGAAATTGAAATCATGTCCTCTGTAAGAGCAGCCAGTGCTCCTAACTGCTAGGCCCCCTCTCCAGCCATCCCCCAACTCTGGCATTTTGATACTGTTTTATAAAAACAAAAGAAAGAAAAAAAAAAGGTTGCCAGCTTTTAAAAACCAGATCTTTATATTACAGTCTGAATTTCTGGCCTGTTTAAAAGAAGTCGGTCAATTCAACAGTGGTGGTCCTCATTCTAGATGGCAGCAGATGCCTGATGCTGAATAGATGGGATGCCTACATTTTTCCACCTAGCTAGGACTTGGCTATGGGCTGTTAATGTTTATTATTGGGCTAATAGTGTATATGTGTTTGTTTATAGAGTTAAAAGGCAAATGAAAGCAGGGGGTGATGGTGCATGCCTTTAATCCTAGTACACAGATGGATCTCTGAGAGTTCAAGGCCAGCCTGGTCCACAAAGTGAGTTCCAGAAAAGTCAAGGCTGTTACACAGAGAAATCCTGTCTCAAAAAAAAAAAGCAAATACTTTCTGGCCTCTTTTGAGATGGGCTCCACACCTGGCCATTTCCGACTTCCATGTTTTGCCTGGCTCTTGTCAGTGGCAGATCATTTCCTGTTTGTCCGTTGCAATGCTGGGGCTCAAATTAGGGCCTTGTGTGCATCCCAGGCAAGTGGTCCTTCATTGGGCTCGGCCCCCAGCCAGCATCTGGATTTTGATCCTTGGTTCAGTCAAACTTCCTATTTGTCCTTTGAGAACTTCCCAGTTCTTAGTTGTGTCCAATTCCAGTCTTTGGACGAGCTTCGGGGACAGGGCTAACTTTTCCAGAGGACTTGGTATGTCTTGATATCACATGGATGCTCTCACTTGGCCCTCAGCCCCCTAAGGAAGAAACACTTCCTAACTGAGAAAACGGAGGCCTAGGAGGAGGAGTGACAAAGTCTGGCTTGCTCCTGACTCCAGCTGCAGAGCCCTCATGTTCTGTGTGGTGTTTTAGTGGGCCTCTGTTTAGAAGAGGAGTCTGGCCCAGAAGCCCGACAGAATACAAGTGCAGGGTGTGGGCAGGTCTGACTGCTTCTTCCTGAGATGGCTCGTGGTACACGGGTTGAGAACTAATCCATCCAACAGTAAGTTACATGACACATGGAAGACCTTCCAGCTCATGGCAGCAGAGAAGGCTAAGGGCTGTTTGCAGGCCAGAGTGCTTCCTGTCACTGCTGCTTTCTGCCTCTCCATAGGAACCAGGCTGTGTGGTTTCTGTGCCTGACACACAGGACGTCCCCCAAAGGACATGCTGGAGTCTAAATCTGACCTCATAATTTGTATCTTGGTTCAGTTTGTAAATGAATGCTCTGTAGGTCATGCCAGCCCTTGTATAGATTTGTGTGTGTGTGTGTGTGTGTGTGTGTGTGTGTGTGTGTGTGAGAGAGAGAGAGAGAGAGAGAGAGAGAGAGAGAGAGAGAGAGAGAG